TTCGAGTCTTCTGCTGCGTCTGCCCTTGTCACTGAGCTCGTCGACTTTGCTGCGCGCTGTCGTCTAGACTACGCTGCTAGTCTTGTCGCTGAGTCTGAGTCTGCCTTTCCTCCGTCCGTCGGGGGTGAGTGTTCCCTTGGCACGGACGTCCTTGAGGACAGGCAGGAGGAGTTCCAGTGTCTGGCCGCCGCTTCACCTCATCTCGCGTCTGTACTGCTCGCCCCTGAGGGAGACCCGGATGCACTAGACATCCCGACTCCGCGCTGTTACGCGGAGGCGATAGAGGGTCCCTACTCCTCTCAGTGGCAGGCAGCTATGGATGCAGAGATGGCTTCCTGGAGGTCGACAGGCACCTACGTTGATGCTGTTCCCCCTCTTGGGGCGAACATAGTCAGTGGCATGTTGATCTTCAGGGTGAAGCGGCCGCCGGGTTCTCCGCCTGTCTTCAAGGCGCGTTACGTGGCTCGTGGCTTCAGTCAGCGGCAGGGAGTTGACTACTTTCAGACCTTCTCTCCCACCCCGAAGATGACCACTCTTCGGGTACTGCTGCACGTTGCTGCTCACCGTGACTACGAGCTGCACTCTCTCGACTTCAGCACTGCTTTCTTGCAGGGCAGCCTGCACGAGGAGTTCTGGCTGCGTCGCCCACCTGGCTTCACTGGGTCTTTCCCTCTTGGTACCCAGTGGAGTCTCCGGCGTCCAGTCTACGGTCTCCGCCAGGCGCCACGTGAGTGGCACGACACACTGAGGACTACACTTGTGGCTCTTGGGTTTGCTCCTTCTACTGCCGACCCGTCGCTGTTTCTGCGCACCGACACCTCTCTGCCGCCGTTCTACATCCTCGTGTACGTCGACGACTTGGTCTTTGCCACAGCTGACACTGCTGGACTCACCTACATGAAGTCCGAGCTGCAGAAGAGACACACGTGCACTGACCTGGGTGAACTGCGCAGCTACCTTGGCTTGCAGATCACCCGGGACAGAGCACGCCGCACCATTACCCTGACTCAGTCACACATGGTGCAGCAAGTACTTCAGCGCTTCGGCTACACGTACTCCTCGCCTCAGGCCACTCCTCTGCCTACTCGCCACTCGCTCTCAGCTCTGCCTTCGGATGAGTCCGTAGAGTCGAGTGGCCCGTATGCAGAGCTTGTTGGCTGCCTCATGTACCTGATGACCTGCACACGACCTGACCTTGCATACCCTCTCAGCATTCTTGCACGCTATGTTGCTGTTGGGAGACACCGACCAGAGCACATGGCTGCAGCGAAGAGGGTGTAGCGCTACTTGTGCGGTACGTCGGGCATGGGGCTAGTGCTTGGAGGGCGCAGTCCAGTGGTCCTCACCGGGCACGCAGACGCTTCTTGGGCTGACGACCAGACTACGCAGCGGTCGTCACAGGGTTACACCTTCAGCCTTGGTTCCGGCTCTGTTTCGTGGCGGGCTACCCGCTCGTCTTCTGTCCTCGGCTCCAGTTGTGAGGCTGAGATCTACGCCGGGGCTATGGCTGCCCAGGAGCTTCGCTGGCTCACCTACCTGCTGACTGACCTTGGAGAGCCGCCTCGTTCTCCTCCAGTCCTGTACGTAGACAACAAGGCCATGCTGGCCTTGTGTCGAGAGCAGCGACTGGAGCACAGGACAAAGCACATTGCTCTCCGCTACTTTCTTGCTCGTGAGCTACAGCAGCGTGGACAGTTGCGGCTTGCGTACGTGGCCTCTGAGGCCAACACTGCTGATGTCTTCACCAAGGCTCTTGCGCCTTGTGATCATCAGCGCTGCTGCACGCAGCTGAGTCTTGTGCCTGTCTTGCCTCACTTGCTCACTTCTTGACCTTGCTTGTACCTTCACCTATATATACCCTTGTCCTTACTTGCTTGACTCTTGTATATCTCTGTATATGATCTTGCATGTGGACTGGCCTTCTGGCCTTTGAACTTGTGCTCGGAATGTGTGGTGACTTTGTGATCCACCCTGAGCTTTGCTTTGCTTTGCTTGACTGGTCTTGTGACCCCTTGTTCTCCCCCACTTTGCCTATGGGGGTGTGTCAGAACATTATAGCTTACTTATTTGTGTAGGCTATAGTAGGGTATCCCATAGGGGGTACAACCCAATTAGGGTTTCCTATTTGTACTCACTTCGTTCATAGTCATTCCATTCTCGTTCTATTCTTCTCAGATGGGGCCAACAACTCCTGTTGACATAATAATGTGCTATATATGTAAAATATATTTATATTATGGAGTGTTTGTAGAGTAGTTTGTTCGGCAGGGTTGTACTATTCGTAATAATATTTCTATTTTTCATGTAAAAAATACGAAATGTACTATCCGAATATAAAAAATCAGGTCAAACAACCAAAACTAAACAGCAATAGAACATAATATGCTACATCGAACTAAAGGAACATGCAAAATCAGTTACAATTGCGTTTAGCAATACAGGGTCTACAACTGGGCAGTACAATTTCGACAGGTGCACGTCATCGCAACCTGATTGTTATGGAAAGATCACACGATGGATCAACATCCCAATAATTCGCCGACGAATTGTGCGATGATGAACGTGGTGTGCCAACTAACCTGAGACAGCCGCGTGTCGAAAATGGTGTCTGACAACAGACGATTCGCAGCGAATGGTAATTAGCTCTGACAGAAATATCTCCTGACAGACATTCCTTCGCACCCAACACGGAATCGGTAATACATAGGTCGCTGAGACACATGCGATTTCGCATCACAGCTTCTATGCAATCAGCAACCAATGCTGAACTGTTCGATTTCGCACACAGCTGATGAACAAATTAGAATGCACCAACACCCAGTCGCCTTTCAATGAACATCCCCTGCCCATGCAGCTGTCCCTACGACTGAGGATGTGTTGCAATTGCCGGCCGATGAGTATCTTCATCGCAGGTTTACGGTTGGGTGCCCAGACCTGAAGAAACATTGCAGCAGGCCCATCAGCAACCTGCGAAAAAGGTATCTTAGTAAGTAGCCGTGACATATATTTTTTCGTCGCACATTCTTGGGATGCTGTGACCTGCCAAACTCTCATTGTCACACCGATTTTGACTCCTCACGCCGCTGCCTAGGCGTAATGCGTTTTCTGGGGCGTGCCGCCGCATGCTCTAGTAACGGAGCTTCCGTTCTCCTCCTCGCAGCCCTCACGCTCACTGTCGGCGCTGCTGCTTGCCCCCTTTTCAGCGCTACTACTACTAGTACTAATCGCCCAACGCCGCGGCGAGATGCCCCACAGCGACTTCTGTCCAAACAACGCCTGCTGTCTCGCGCTCGACCCAGCCGCGCCCATCCGCGCCTGACGCTCAACTCTCTTTTCGCCGCAACCAGCGGCGCTGCCGTGGCCGACGCGAGCACTGAAATCGTTCTCGAAAACTCGCAGTGTGAGTCGGTTGTCCAGTCAGAGGCTCTCAGCGAGCTTCCTCACGCGATATAAATCCTCGCATTCCGAGTGGGAGTCCGAGTCCGCACTCAGAGCTCCACTTCTCATGACCAGAGAGAGAATTGTGCGCGCCCGCGGGCTGCCCTTATAAGGGTGACGCATGAGTGACGTCACACCCGACCCAGGCGCATGTGCCGGCAGTGAGGCCTCCATCCCTACTATTTGCGGTAAATGTGCTCCCATTACCCCGTTTTGCCGGCAGTGAAAGTGTTGCTGCAGCTGAAGGCGGCGTGGGGCATTTGGGAAAGCAACAGCAATGCCACCACTGCGTGCTCTGCATGGACTGGCATCACCTGCAGCCCCAAAGGGCTCATCGTCTCCCTGTGAGAATCATCGTCGCCCTCCTCGTTGCTGGCTGATCTTTTGCTCGGTGCTGTGTGTTTGCCTTCTATCAACACTCTCCTAATTGCCTCTCGTTGCTGTGATTGTTCAGCTGTGGTCTATGGCATCGGGCGTTGTATTGGTATCCATAGCCAGAGTTCGAATCCCAGCTAGCTGTTGAGGCGAAGCCCTGCACGCGCCTGGTATCGTGTGTAGCAGCCCTATGCGATGTAGCTAGGTTTCACATACCGCATATCGGAGCTTCGGTATTCGCATATTGGAGGGAAGTGACGACATTGCACATACGAGTATGTGCAACTATCTGTTGCGAGCACCTGAGCAACTACCCCCTGGACAGGTAGAAAATACACCTGACGGTATTTTCACCTGATAGAGTTTTCACCTGGCGGTGCCAACCTGAAACCGCATACTAGAGTAGGTGCTTGCACGTTCTCCTTGAACAACGTTCTTCATGAACAACGTTCTCGTAGAACGTTCTCGCACACCATAACTATGCTTCCCATAAGGTTCATGTTGATTCTGTTGTAATCTATCAATTAATGAACTTCTTTCTTTCTGTTATTGGATACCAAGCCCGTTGCTGCATATCAAGCCTACTGTTCTCCAAATACCAGTATCCGGTTTCGAGCAAGTCCGTATACGCAAACTCGCGCTTCATTCTCCAATCGAGCAACTCTGCGCCTAGGTTCTCCCATAATCGCCTATTTTCCGCACTAGCCACGTTCTTTGCCTGAAAATGTGGTGGAGCGATAATTCGAATGTGGTAACCCAACTCCGAGGTCCCTGAGAAGTAAATTCCCTGATCCAACGAGGACGTTTGACACCAGGGGCAGCACGGGTATAAACATTGTGTACCAGGGGCAGCACCTGGGGCAGCACGGGTTACAAGGGACTGTTGTGGCGCTGAATAACCCTCGTTTTGGCCAACCTAGACTAAGCCACCGGGCGATTCTATGTCCCCTCAGTACTCCGTAGTTACTCCTCATTCGCCCTCTGTTCTCTCCTTTCCCCCACAGTGTAGTGTCACCGTATCACCCTTCCGCTGTCTGCTCCTCTTGCAATGATCGTGTTGGATTTTGTGTGTGTGCGGGAGCATTGCAAATCTGGACAAGGGGGGGGATGGGTTGAAGGTTGTGGTGGTGGGATGGGGGAGAACTGGATATATGGGGAAGGGAACTGGGGTGGGAGACGGGCGAGGGATGGGAGCTGGTATTGCGTGCATGCGTTTGTGTGTTGGCAGGGATTCAAAATTATTGTCTTATGTGGACTCCCCCAGTGCCTCCATACCTGCCTCCATCACTGGTCTTTCCACTCTGCAACTCCTGTGCGTCACCACCCACCCATCCCTCTCCCTCCACTACAGTTTACATCCGTCTTGCATCTACCATGCCTTTCATTCGTTTGCATTGGTCTCGCCCCAACCTCGTACTGCTCTGTCCTTCCATCTCATTCTCACATCGCATTTGCATGCCACAACTGACCATACCCTCTTCCAGCCCTTGCATGCCATGCCTCCCTTCCAGCCCTTGCATACCTCCCTTGCAGCCCTTGCATGCCTCCCTTGCAGCCCTTGCATGCCTCCCTTGCAGCCCTTGCATGCCTCCCTTGCAGCCCTTGCATGCCTCCCTTGCAGCCCTTGCATGCCTCCCTTCCAGCCCTTGCATGCCTCCCTTGCAGCCCTTGTGCGCTAGCCAGACCACAAGCTGCAAAACTTCAATGCCACAGACCTCAAGGCTCCATTTTATCTTCCTCTTGCCATCTACACTGCTGTTCATGCGCTCCCATCCCATCCCACAGTGATCTGACCTACTTTATTTTGGGCGGACCCATTCCATCCCTCGCCAGTCTCACTGACCTCACGTACCTGTGAGTGCTGCTCTTCCATGGTTCCAAACCAGGCCAGGTCAGCTGAATGCTGGACTAGCCCCTGCCCATCGAATACGCCCATCTTCCATCCTCCTTCACTCTTCTGCACCCCCTGATCCTGCTCTTTCCAGCTTGATTGATCGTTGTTCTTAGCGAATTCCCAATGCTGGAGTCAATTCCCTTCCCTTCCACAGCTGTCATTACCAATCGCTTGTACAAGTACCCGTGAAGTTCTTGTTCATTCCAAATGATAACTTCTTCCCTAGACTCTGCATCCGCGTGGCTGCAGCATGTGTTTCCGTTTCCCACTAACTGTGCCACGTGCACCCTTCATGTGTACTGTTGCTGCTTGCATGCCCCATGTGCATTCAGAGCCATTGGGACCAGTGGTGGTGCCAGTGGCAGCCCTCAGACTGGCACACTGGACGGACTGGCTTGGCTCTCCTCCCTCACCAAACTGCAAATACTGTACTTCACAGTCTTCACGCCATGCAAACACTGTTCATCTTACAAACAAGCCAGTGTTATTCCTGCAAGAAAACAGTGTCGCTGTCACTCTTCTTCCACTTTGTCATCCAGCCTCGTTGTCTTAGTTTAGCAATAGCCTTTAGCTGCTGTTAGGGAAAATTTTCTGATTTCTTCGTTACATATTGTTCAAAACAGGGGATTGCACAATTCAAACCAAACAAAAATTTATGAGCAACTTAAAATGAGCTGGGAGCCTCATGTAATGCGTCTGCCGCATTTCATGTCGTGTCGCACAGCAGAACCAAACTCGCTAACCAACCTTGAAACCAAAACTGACCTGTCGTATCCGCGCCAAACACGGTTCAGTTTTGGTTAGACATTTTTGGCTGCGACAATATACTTCTCAACGTTTGCCAAATTGTTTACGTTTTTCTTGCCCTTTTCACGTGTTCTTCCCTAGCTCCTCATTTTTCACTCCAACCCCACTGTTCTAGCTCCACTAGATATTTCACACTAGGTTGACTTTTCCCAGCGCTCCTAGCATAGTTGTACCAACCCTAGGTCAAGCACTCAGGGGGGCACTAGGCCAGCCAAACACGCTGCACGCCACATGGCTCCACTCCAGCTGGAGTCCAGCATGCGATGCAGCAGTCCCCATGCTCCTACACTACACCACCCCCAACAGCTTCTCTTCTTCCATATTGCACTTCCCTCTCTTCAACCAGGACTCTAGAGTACTTGGGGGTTTTGACAGGGGACTTGTCCTCCCTGCACATTCTCTCACACTTGAGAAGCCTACATTATCTGTAAGCATGATCTCCATACAAGAACGTATGGTATGGTGGTGGCACCTTGTTCCTATTCTCATTCTACATGTCACCATGTGAGTTGGTCCATATTACCATTTGGCAAGATGGTAGTTCACTCATTATTGCTGATTACATGTTCATACTTGCAGGAAAGCCAGTAAGCTAAAAAACGCCAAAGGGGAGATACCCAGAGAGCTTCAATACCTGACTGCCCTCACTGCACTGTAAGCTCCACCCAAGTCTGATGGGGCAGGTGAAGTGGATTCGTTCATGTGCACGATCAACACATCCCCAACTCAACCCCTCGCCGGACATGACAGCTGCTCTATCTATCTATCCTGCTCTTATCGTCCTCCATGCTGCAGGGATCTATCCTACCTTCGTTTTGTGGAGTTTCCGATTTGGATCACTCAACTCACCAACCTTCAGTATCTGTGAGCTCCTCTCCTCCTACTTCACTCCCCACCTCCACCATTGCCACACGCCACATCCCCCACCCCATGAGGCACGAGAGCCACATGTGTCATACCATGACCATGCATGATTGAGCTGCTCTAAGTGCGCCGAATCTTCCCGGCCTTTTCTTGTGCGCAGGAACTTGTATGCAGACTATCCACAACGCCAGGGACGATTGCTGAATGATGATCTCTCTCAGCTCACAGCACTCACCAGCATGTGAGTTTAGTGTGGCTTTAACTTGGTGAGGGTCCATGGGTATCATCTTTTCAATCTCAGAAGCAAAATCTTCAGGAATTGGGCTTCCTTTTCTACCTGTTGAAAGCTAGTACTGCTAGGGTGTTTAGGAAAGCAGCTGATATGTACGAGCGTGACGCGTTAGAGGTGACCGTGATATTCATAAGCGTACTGTGGCTTACTCAGACTGTCACTGTTGCTGCAACGCTGTACGCAAGAAAATCACTCATAATTCCTGCCCTACTACTTTCTCATGAATCCCACCATTCAATACTCAAGCGTCCATCTGTCCCTTTCTCCCACACTCTGCAGGTCCCTCCACGGAAACAACCTCGAAGGCTACCTTCCCAATAGCTGGACCTTTCTGGTCCATCTGCAAGAGCTGTGAGTTACTGCTTGTCATACATACCAACTTGCCATCCTGCCTGCCATGTTGCCATACAGAGTTTCTCTCTACTGTGTCGTCTAGGATCGATCAAGTATCGCTGACCTGTATCCAAACCAAGCAGGAGGTTTGTTTGCCAAAAACAATCGGAACGGCTCGAAATGAATTTTTACAGCCCTTAAATTGCTTCTCTAGGAAACTCGTGCTGCTCGAGCTGCGAACCTGGAGTTGGATGTGCCTCAACTTGTTTGATTTGAAGGTTCAGAATAGTTCAACCTGAACCAGTACTGGTCTCTTACAGAAATAAGGCAGCGTTTTCCTTTGCTTAAAGCCTATCCAAGTCATCCCAGTTTTGTTTTTTTTACACGACTTTTTTTTTTTTTTTTTCAGAAAGTTGGGAGTCAACCGATTTGAAGGCACCATTCCGGCAACATACTCGGCCCTAACAGGCCTGACTGCAATGTTAGTTTCATGTGTCCTCCCTGCTTCCATTGTCCCACCCTCACTCTGTTAGCCCTTGTCTGTATCCCTCGTCCCTTCCTCACTCAGTACACCACTTGTTCTGCCCCTCTCTACTGCAGAGACTTGTCGTGGAATCAACTGACTGGTACAATTCCCCCTGCATTTGCCACCAGCATCCAGTCAATGTATGTCACTCCTCCCTCCGCCTCCAGTCAATGTATGTCACTCCTCCCTCCGCCTCCAGTCAATGTATGTCACTCCTCCCTCCGCCTCCAGTCAATGTATGTCACTCCTCCCTCCGCCTCCAGTCAATGTATGTCACTCCTCCCTCCGCCTCCAGTCAATGTATGTCACTCCTCCCTCCGCCTCCAGTCAATGTATTTCACTCCTCCCTCCGCCTCCAGTCGATGTATGTCACTCCTCCCTCCGCCTCCAGTCAATGTATGTCACTCCTCCCTCCGCCTCCAGTCAATGTATGTCACTCCTCCCTCCGCCTCCAGTCAATGTATGTCACTCCTCCCTCCGCCTCCAGTCAATGTATGTCACTCCTCCCTCCGCCTCCAGTCAATGTATGTCACTCCTCCCTCCGCCTCCAGTCAATGTATGTCACTCCTCCCTCCGCCTCCAGTCGATGTATGTCACTCCTCCCTCCGCCTCCAGTCAATGTATGGCACTCCTCCCTCCGCCTCCAGTCAATGTATGTCACTCCTCCCTCCGCCTCCAGTCAATGTATGTCACTCCTCCCTCCGCCTCCAGTCAATGTATGTCTCTCTTCCCTCTGGCTCCATTCAATGTAAGGCAAGAGCCTCGGGCGTCCTTTGACTGCCTCTGCCAACCTTGATGCTTTCAACCAATCATGCAGAAACCCATGAAAAATAGTGTATAGCTGCAGGCCGATGCACCCACACTTGCAAAGGAGCCACTCACCATTCCAGTGGAATGGCCTACACCATTGCTTTCACGCAGGTTTACGAACAAATGCCTGAATTTTCATCCAGCTCCATGCCATGTAACAAGGCTCCCTCGCAAAGTACTCCAAATTCTTTCCCGAGCATAACCCAAACCACTTCCCCGTGTAATTTCAATCGTCCCTATGTGAATCCTACTCACATCATTGCTGGTTCGATATCTCACATGTGCACCACCAACATTTCAACAGTGGCTGCTGCATGGCTTCCTGCCTTACCCTGCCATGCCAAGCCACAACGCGCACCCCATTCCCGCTACTTGTTTTGCGTGCACTCTGTTGATCTCTACACTATTTTCACGTTCACTTCCCCTCTCTTCCTTTCACCCCTCCCACTTAAGTTTTCCATCCCCTCTCTTCCTGTTCTCGAACCCTTATTCCCCATGGCCTCACTTCGTATTCTCGAACCCTTATTCCCCATGGCCTCACTTCGTATTCTCGAACCCTTATTCCCCATGGCCTCACTTCGTATTCTCGAACCCTTATTCCCCATGGCCTCACTTCGTATTCTCGAACCCTTATTCCCCATGGCCTCACTTCGTATTCTCGAACCCTTATTCCCCATGGCCTCACTTCGTATTCTCGAACCCTTATTCCCCATGGCCTCACTTCGTATTCTCGAACCCTTATTCCCCATGGCCTCACTTCGTATTCTCGAACCCTTATTCCCCATGGCCTCACTTCGTATTCTCGAACCCTTATTCCCCATGGCCTCACTTCGTATTCTCGAACCCTTATTCCCCATGGCCTCACTTCGTATTCTCGAACCCTTATTCCCCATGGCCTCACTTCGTATTCTCGAACCCTTATTCCCCATGGCCTCACTTCGTATTCTCGAACCCTTATTCCCCATGGCCTCACTTCGTATTCTCGAACCCTTATTCCCCATGGCCTCACTTCGTATTCTCGAACCCTTATTCCCCATGGCCTCACTTCGTATTCTCGAACCCTTATTCCCCATGGCCTCACTTCGTATTCTCGAACCCTTATTCCCCATGGCCTCACTTCGTATTCTCGAACCCTTATTCCCCATGGCCTCACTTCGTATTCTCGAACCCTTATTCCCCATGGCCTCACTTCGTATTCTCGAACCCTTATTCCCCATGGCCTCACTTCGTATTCTCGAACCCTTATTCCCCATGGCCTCACTTCGTATTCTCGAACCCTTATTCCCCATGGCCTCACATCTTTTGCTCCTCTCTTCCTTTTTTCCTTGTCGCCTCCTGTCTTGTCTCCCTATCCAGATTGCTCCATTACAATGCTTTCACTGGGCCCATCCCACCGCACCTGCTGGCACTACCCAACCTCTCTGAACTGTGAGCCCCCCATGTTTGCCCATTTTTATGCATTCATCTTCTCATCTTATTTTTAAATCGACTCAAAAGTCGTCCTGTTTACCCATTTTTATGCACGCATCTTCCAATTTCCAGACCTATTCACCCCTTGGGCTCTCCTCCCATTTGAACTCTCTGCCTCACCCCGTTTCTCGAATCTTGTGTCTTTCCCTTACTAATCTGCAAGGGTTCCTGTTCGGCTGCCCTGGCTGCAGAATACTATCACACAATCATTTCACAGGAGCCATTCCCAACAACTTCACTCGCCTCAATAGGATGAATCTTCTGTATGTCTCTCCGCAAGCGGCGCTTCCCCCATATACCTCTCCCTCCCCCCATGACACGAAACTGCTGCGTGCAACAGAATCACTTGGAGAGTCTCACGTGTTACTGATTGTTCTTTGATGTGCGTCGTTTGACCATAGTTACAGCTTCTCCTGCCTCATGCTGGTTGCCTCCTATGTGTGTGTGCATGTGTGTGTGTGTGTGTGTGTGTGTGTGTGTGTGTGTGTGTGTGTGTGTGCGTGTGTGCGTGTGCGTGTGTGCGTGTGCGTGTGTGCATGCGTATGTAAGTGCGTGCGTGTGTGTGAGTGCACACGTGCACGGGCTCCGCATGACAGAGACATTTCTTCCAACAATCTCAGCTCAGGTCTTGACGTGGTGGCTCAGATGACATGGCTCCAAGACATGTGAGTGTTCTCCCCTCTTCACCTTCTCAGCTGGCCCTCACCTTGCTTTCCATCGCTTCCCTTTGCCCACTTTGGCTCCCTGCAACATCCGAGCTAAGACACTCTCTCCAATCCAATGCTGGCTGTGCAGATCGATCAATGACAACAACTTCTCTGGTGTGCTTCCAGCGTCGTTCACAGCAATCAGTGGCATCACAAACTTGTGAGACCACTCGAGCCACCTCTCACCTCATCTAAGCTACAACCCCTTTCACTGCACCGAATCGGGTGGATGGGATGCAACAGCAGTAAGCGTTGTGACTGCCCTTCACCTGAGTACTTGTGTGCCCGCGCTTCTTTTATCGATTCTTGTATTCTTGTATTCAAATTCATGGTGGATAAACGCTTGTTGTGTGCACAGTTGTATGCACTTGTACACTTTCTATCTTCACAGTTTGTTTCCTGCATCCATGTAATGTACAAGTGCCAGAGCACGTATGCAGTGGCCTGTGCATAAGCAAAAGAATGTGTGCTTTCCCATGTATTTGTTTTACTATTTACCCATCACGGCCTGTATATTGGGTCTCATTCAGGGTTGTTTACAACAACCATTTCACTGGAACCTTCCCAAGTTTTGTTCTGCGCCAGAAGGACCTCTTTATCCTGTAAGGCATTCACTCGTAAACTTGAGCACAAGGGATTTGCGCTGATGGAACAAATGCTTCTATTTCTTCCACTGAAACAACTATTTGACACAGCTATTTGAACTAGACATGAGCAAAACGGCGAGCGAAACAAAGTACCAATCCGAATTGGTTTGCTTTGAGATTGGCCTGCACTTGAAGGTTGGTTTTCAACTGAACTGCACTTGAAGGTTGGTTTTCAACTGAACTGCACTTGAAGGTTGGTTTTCAACTGAACTGCACAAAAGAGCCTTCTATTCGTGTAATGCATCCATGCGCGACCAATTTTTGAGAATTCTTGAAAATCGCTCATGAAGAGCCCTATTATTCCTGTAATGCATCCATGCGTGACCTCAAACAATGGCGGGTTTCACTGATGAAACTACTGCTGCCATTTCTTGCAGTACTTCCTGAAAAAACTGCCTGAAATACTCCAATGGCAATCGTAATCTAAATCGTCATGGCAGAAACTTGGCCAACAACAGTTTCACAGGGACCATTCCCCGTGAATTGACCAAGCTTGTCAACCTAGCCCACATGTAAGTTGCACTGCTGCAAAGTGTAGTGGGATGGGACATGAACGAAAGAAATAATATTGCCAAGTAGGGCAATGACTTGGGGTTGAGGACCTGCTAGCAAATATGCCATGCTGTAGCCTTGTGTGTTGACTTTTGAGTCGACTCAAATGTAAACATACACAAGGTCACTCTGAGGCTCTTGGTACCATTGTGCAGATATCTCAATAACAACGATTTTTATGGAACAATCCCATCCGGCCTGCTTCAGCTACCCATTTTGTACACGCTGTAAGCAGCTCCAATACACCTTGTTTAAGAAGATCCTATTCTTAAGACGTCTCAAATATCTACTTGTTTCACGCAGCTCCATTACCCCTGTTTCAGAAGTTCCTATTCTTCCACCTGCAAGTCTTCCGAGTGAAGGTCTGAGTACTTCCGAGTGAAGGTCTGAGTACTTCCAAGTGAAGGTCTGAGTACTTCCGAGTGAAGGTCTGAGTACGTCCGATTGAAGGTCTGTCTGAGTACTTCCGAGTGAAGGTCTGAGTACTTCCGAGTGAAGGTCTGAGTACTTCCGAGTGAAGGTGTGAGTAGTTTCGAGTGAAGGTCTGAGTACTTCCGAGTGAAGGTCTGAGTACTTCCGAGTGAAGGTCTGAGTAGTTTCGAGTGAAGGTCTGAGTACTTTCGAGTGAAGGTCTGAGTACTTCCAAGTGAAGGTCTGAGTACTTCGAGTGAAGGTCTGAGTACTTCGAGTGAAGGTCTGAGTACTTCGAGTGAAGGTCTGAGTACTTGGAGTACATCACTCTGCTAAAAAAACTTTTGAGTCGACTCAAAAGTCAAGGTCTGAGTACTTCCGAGTGCATGCCTATGTTTGGAAACAGTCTGAGTTGCAAGAACTCTTCTCCACTGCCATACATCCCTGGGTTCGACTCAAGGTCTGAGAACTCTGCTCCACTGCCAAACACCAAACCAGGACGCCGCTTGCTACCTGCTTTGGATGTGTCTCCCTCCCTTCATCTCCCACGTTCTCAGTTTTCCACCCCAGGATCGTTGTCAGTCTCGTAGAGAGGCCACAATGCATTCATGTGCTTTGCTTTGGAAAAATCCCTGGGTTATTAACTGCTGCATCCAGCCTTCTCTTTGATTCTCCCTTTTCGAGCACAGGGATGTCTCTAACAACTTTATTTCTGGGGAGATCCCACGGACTTTCAGGGTCACACCTTCTCTTCACATGCTGTAAGAAGTTGAACTACGGTGTGCTGTCGTGCCGCCACTGTGTGTGCTGCCACCATTGTTTTTACCTGGTGCCACCCTTTCTATTCATGCTTAGCTTTCATAGCCATGGAATCATCGATCTCTCCCCTTGCATTGTACAGTAGCCTGGGAGGAAATGGCCTGACGGGCTCCTTACCAGACTTCTCACGCTGGAAAGTCAGCTGTGAACAGATGTAAGCCTCTCCACGCCTTCTTCCCCCCTGTCTGTTCCACTCTCAAAATCGCTTGCTCAATCTCTGTTTTTAGCACCATGGGTTTTGTATACCATTTCATTGCACCCAAATTTAGCAGTTGTGTTCGCCTCACTCGCATGGATCTAGTTGCTGCCGCGCCTGTGTTGTCTTGTGGGTCAGAGATCTCAGCAGCAACAACTTCACAGGGTCGATTCCCGACTCCATCTCCACCCTCACCACCCTCATTGGCATGTGAGACTTCTCTTCTCTTCTCTTCTCCTCTCTTCTCTTCTCTTCTCTTCTCTTCTCTTCTCTTCTCTTCTCTTCTCTTCTCTTCTCTTCTCTTCTCTTCTCTTCTCTTCTTGTGTGCCACAAAGAGCCGTTATGCCTGCCGTGCCAACGAGCTGCCATGTGAGCACATGTCCGTGAAGTGAAGCTATTCCCATCTGAGCAAGGTGGGATGTCGTGTCGTGTACAAAAGTCACCATCGAGCCTTTGCAGTGGCACGCAGCCTAGGGCACGAGAAAGTTAGCAGTGGCAGCCTATGGCAGGAGAAAGGTAGCAGTGGCAGCCTATGCACAAACGCAGCTACATACGCTTAATTCGCACTTCCAGCCAATGTACCCCGTTGCTATCCCCTGCTCTGCAGTTTTCTCAACAACAACCAGCTGACTGGCACCATCCCTTCAGCCATCTTCACCATGAGGAATCTGACATACCTGTAAGCCACATGGGTATAGGGATCCCCTTTCAAGTGCCCACTTTTGAGTCGACTCAAAAGCTTTCTAAGTGCCCATCACACGTTCCAGCCTCTGCCCACTGGTGCTTTTCTGCACCAGCCTGCACTACTGTTCTTGCATACGCTGCTTCTCATTGGAATGTCTCCCTGCCATTGCTGCTATTGCCCGTCAGCTATTTGGCCAACAACCATCTGACTGGGAGTCTGCCAGATGCCATCAGCAAATTGGAGAACCTTGAACAGATGTGAGGGTGCTATGTGCCTTCCTCCTCTACACATCTCAAGAATGGTGGCAGCTTACGAAACAACATTGGCATCACCAGCGCAAGCTTGTAGTACATCGGTCCTATAACAGACCTGGTAAACTTCCACACCATGAAATGGACACAGGAGATCATAACACGCAAACATCACCCGTGCCGTCCCCACTCCACCCCCTTCTCTTCATGCAACGGTTGGCGCCTTTGACCCTGCCAATGCTCTGCCTGCCCCCCAGCTGGTTGGACAACAACGAGATTGAAGGCCCTCTGCCAACTGGCCTATGCTCGCTGCACTGGCTGTGGCGCTTGTGAGTGGCTGTTATACACATGATTGATTGTTTTGAGGAATTTGCCAGCTGATGTTTACTGCTTTCAGACCATAGCTATTTGAACGAGGGTTGCATACTTCCTGTTTTCATGAGTTTAGAAATCGTTGGAACATAGGAAGTAGTTTCCTTTTTTGTGTGTTTGTCTTTCTGTATGGGTGTGTGGCTCATGGCGTGGCATGGTGTGTGCTGTGCTGCTGGCAGCATGGTCAGCAACAACTACCTCTATGGACCCCTGCCAGACTGCTTCTTTCACAAGTGCATCAGCCAAATGTGAGCCTACCGTGCATACAGGGTGTTTTGAGAATTCTCAAAAACACCCTGCCTACCGTGCATACTCTATTCTCAGTGCCATTCTTGACAGCTCGCAACCTCAACATAGGCATTGCACCCTCATGTTTTCGGGTGCAATGCCCACCAACGCGCACCCTCAACATCCTTATCTGCTGCGACGGCCCCCGACTACCCTCCGGCCACTCAAAATCACCTCCTGCTCTCGGTGTTCCCCGGTGCTCCCCACAGTGATGTGAGCAGCAACAGCCTATACGGGCGCATCAACCGCGACTTCGAGAACATGGTGGCAGATGGCAATGCCCTTATCAACTTGGCTCACAACTTCTTCTTTGGGGATGCCGTGCTCTTTGCTGCCGGCTGCAAGGTCTGCCCCACAGAGGTCAGCGAGCCCAACAACCTGGACATATGGGACACCTCTCTTATATATCAAGACTTTGGTGGCAGGTGCAGCAATGCTGCGACCCATCTGCTTGATAATAACCCCATGGTGCAGTCGGGCAAGACGACAAGGGTGATTCTGTCAGGCAACTGCCTGACCCTCAGCCCAAGGACAAAGTGCACGTCCAAGGGCACCCAGCGCAGCGCAACAGCCTGCCAGGCGTTCTGCAGCATCACGGACAACGGGCCGTGTGACGGCCATGGGGCGTGTGTGCCGGCTACCCCCACTTCCCCCTCTAACTTCACGTGCATCTGTGATGCGGGGTACACCACTGTCGACTCGGGCAACGGCTCCTCCACATGCGCAATTGTCCACTCCACCACCAACACTGGTAACCCTTGCTTCATTCTTACAGCTCCATATTTCATTCCTATCTTCTGCACTAGTATCCATGTTTCATGAGACTACTGCTATACACGCGTTTATCACCGCCCCATGTTCATTCCTTGGCAGTGTCGTCTCTGTCCACGGGCGCCATAGTGGGCATTGTTGTGGGCTGCTTTGCTGGCTTCACGCTGCTGGCTGCGGTGGTCGCATGGCTGCTGTGGCCCCGCGGACCAAGTGAGCCCCTCAACCCATTCCATATCCCCCCTTGCTGCACCTATTTCCTGGCTTCCTTCCTTGCTCCCCACCTCTCCCAATTTCCATGCCTCTCCTCTGCCCTCATGCTCGCCTCTCCTCTGCCCTCATGCTCGCCTCTCCTCTGCCCTCATGCTCGCCTCTCCTCTGCCCTCATGCTCGCCTCTCCTCTGCCCTCATGCCCGGCTCTACTCTGCCCTCATGCTCTGTCCACGCATCTACACCCTTAGTCCCTCACACCTCTGGTCTGGGATTTTTCTGTGCGCAGAGAAGTGGGAGGGTTTGGATGTGTGCGAGCAGTTCTCACTGCAGCAGATGCTGAAGGCCACCAGCAACTGGTCGGAGGACAATGTGTTGGGCAAGGGTGGCTTTGGCATTGTCTACAAAGGCTGCTCGCCTCAGGGCCAGCTGTGGGCCATCAAGCGATCCACCATCATGACCAACGACTTTGAAACAGAGGTGAGGCGCCATCATGACAACTCCGTTGAAACGGAGGCGAGGCATGCCTCTAGTTCCCTGTGTACGACACGGCACTCTCTGCGTCCCAAAATGCTGACCTGCAAACGCATGTCTCTCCTTTTCATGCCAATGTGCATCTGCCTACATGTTGCAGGTGCGAGCCATGGCCTCTCTCCACCACACACACCTCGTGCGCCTGCTGGGCTTCTGCCTGGACCAGAACGTGGAGACGGGCAAGCAGGAGCAGATCCTCGTGTACGAGTTCATAGGCAACAGAGACCTCGAGTACCATATCCACAAGACCAAGCGTGAGTCAAACTAGCACAATTGCTAAACCCTTTTTTCTTCTTCTTCTTCTTCTTCTTCTTCTTCTTCTTCTTCTTCTTCTTCTTCTTCTTCTTCTTCTTCTTCTTCTTCTTCCTTCCTTCCTTCCTTCCTTCCTTCCTTCCTTCCTTCCTTCCTTCCTTCCTTCCTTCCTTCCTTCCTTCCTTCCTTCCTTCCTTCCTTCCTTCCTTCCTTCCTTCCTTCCTTCCTTCCTTCCTTCCTTCCTTCCTTCCTTCCTTCCTTCCTTCCTTCCTTCCTTCCTTCCTTCCTTCCTTCCTTCCTTCCTTCCTTCCTTCCTTCCTTCCTTCCTTCCTTCCTTCCTTCCTTCCTTCCTTCCTTCCTTCCTTCCTTCCTTCCTTCCTTCCTTCCTTCCTTCCTTCCTTCCTTCCTTCCTTCCTTCCTTCCTTCCTTCCTTCCTTCCTTCCTTCCTTCCTTCCTTCCTTCCTTCTTTCCTTCCTTCCTTCCCCCCCCTTTTTTTTTCCTTTTTGTTTTTTCTTTTCCCTGTAAATTACACAACACCTCCACTCATAATATCGTGTGTTCTGCATTTCTATTAATTGTTGTATGACCCAGGTCCGCTCTCGTTTCGCCAGAGGTTGCGCCTGGCACAGGGAGCAGCAGAGGGCCTGGCATACCTGCACGGGTTTGACACACCCATCGTTCACCGCGACATCAAGCCGGCCAACATCCTTGTGACAGCAGACATGCAAGCCAAGGTGGCTGACTTTGGGCTGCTCAAGCGCCTCACTCATGGCGATGCTGATGTCACACGAGTGGCTGGCACTCCAGGCTATGTGGATTCGGACTACAGCCGCACCCACGTCATCACTGTCAAGAGTGATGTGTTCAGGTCTGCATGCTTGTTCCCTTGGACAACAGTATTGTGCTCCTCTGGCTTTTTGTTACCATTCCAGGTTATGCCTTGTATTGCTATCTCTACTGCTGTGCATGCTGGCTCCTTAGTGCAGCACAATGAACTTGTGCAAAGCCTTTTTTTACTCCCCTGGCTATGTTGAGTTCTTGCACCTTGTTTTGTTATCTCTACATCTGTCCATTTCTTTGTGAGCCTTTGCAAATGGATGATGCTTGCAGCTTTGGAATTGTGCTTCTTGAGCTGCTGAGTGGCAAGTCACCCCAAGTCGACGAAAAAACACATATAAAAAAATGGGTATGCACATCAAGTATGAAACCCTTTCTTTGTTTTGGCTTAAGACTTGGAAAGTTGCATATAAGACAATGGGTATGCTGATAGGTCTAAAACTCGTCTCTGACTTCATTACTTTTGGACGCACGTTCATCATGGGGTCCCTTTTATGATGCCTTTCACTCCTTTCCTTGTTGCCGCCTTTCACTCCCTTTCCTTGTTTCTGTGCTGCCTTTCACTGCTTTTCCTTGTTGCCATTCTGCCTTTCTCTGCCTCTTCTTGTTGTCATGCTGCCTTTCACTGCCTTTCCTTGTTTCCGTGCTGCCTTTCACTGCTATTCCTAGTTGTCATGCTGACTTTCACTGCCTTTCCTTGTTTCCGTGCTGCCTTTCACTGCTTTTCCTTGTTGCCATTCTGCCTTTCACTGCCTTTCTAGTTGCCATGCTGCCTTTCTCTGCCTTTTCTTGTTGCCGTGCTGCCTTTCACTGCTATTCCTAGTTGTCATGCTGACTTTCACTGCCTTTCCTTGTTTCCGTGCTGCCACTCACTGCCTTTCCTAGTTGCCATGCTGCCTTTCACTCCCTTTCCTTGTTTTCGTGTAGCCTTTCACTGCTTTTCGTTGTTGCCATTCTGCCTTTCACTGCCTTTTCTAGTTGCCATGCTCCCTTTCTATGCCTTTTCTTGTTGCCGTGCTGCCTTTCACTGCTATTCCTAGTTGTCATGCTGCCTGTCACTGCCTTGTTTCCGTGCTGCCTTTCCCTGCGTTTCCTAGTTGTCATGCTGCCTTTCACTCCCTTTCCTTGTTTCCGTGCTGCCTTTCACTGCTTTTCCTTGTTGTCATGCTGGCCTGCACTGCCTTTCCTTGCTATCATGCTGCCTTTCACTGCCTTTCCTTGTTTTTCTGCTGTCTTCCACCACCCTTGCTTCTTGTCATGCTGCTTTGCATTGCCTCGCCATTCATCATCCATGCGTGCACATTCCCCTCCAGGCAATGAAGCTGGTGGAGGTGTATGAGCTAGAGGAGCTGAAGGACAGCAAGATGCCGGTGGCAAGCGAGGAGGCCATAGTGGACTTTGCAGACCTGGCTCTGGACTGCATCAAGTCTCCCGGCACACGGCGACCCACCATGAAGGATGTGGCATACCGCCTCAGTGCCCTCATTGCCAAGCACTGTCCCAACAAGGAGGATGAGTGGGAGAATGTCGCGGAGGAAGACGGTGCAAGCAACGAGGATACCGGTACATCCTCAAGGGATGTTTCTGCTGTGCCGTTGGGAGATCGTGGGAGGGAGTCTGAGAGGTCTTATGGCTCACAGTCGGGTGTGAGCTCATTGTTGGGCTCAGGAGTTGGGTGCAACTGAAGACAACCAAAGGGCGTTGAATTTGCTCTTAGTGTCTGTATGTGGGCCATGCAACTTGAGACTTAGGGCGTGTTCCTACGCTCTTATCAGGCAAACCTCTTGTCAGCCTTGCCTGGTAAAAGTAGCGACGGTTTTCGGGTTTAGGGAATTTTCAGGGGGAAAAGTAGCGAGCTTGATAAGAGGTAGCCCTGATAAGGGGCCGTAGGAACTAGTGCAAGTAGCAGTACTGCCATACACTAGAGTGTTACGTACAGGGCGATGCGATAAGAAAACTTGGGAGTTTGTTTGTGTTTAACTTGGGTGCAATAAACCCCAAGCTCGAGATACCAGTTACAGGGGAGACTCAAGACAACCTCAAGCATTTATCAGTATAGAATGGGAGACGCAAGCAGTGAAGCACACGGGGGAATCTACAACCTCAGCTGACAAATTTAAAAGCGTAGGAAATGCTGGCAAGCAGCTTGAAAATCACTCAAAGATAGCACCATGCGTGAGCTGAAAGAGCAAGCTATATCTGTGTTCAAAGACTGATACTGGAGTGCTGCAAAGGGAAATGCCATGACAGCCGGCCAAGATGGGTGCTAGAGAATGGATTATGGAATACTCCGTTGGCTTCATTGAGAGAGCTGTGGACTTGACACTTGCATTCACAACAGTTTGAATGCTCGCTGGCTACTGCTCATGCCAGTGGATGGACGGAACGACTCTGGCTTACTGCCTGACAGAAGCAGTTAGCTGCACTTGTGACGCAAGTCAGCTCGGGAATGCCAGCAACTTGCCAAACTGCGCAACAGGAAGTTTGCATCTAAAGCAGCTCGGGATGTTTGTGAAGCAACAGTTTGCCATCACTGCCGTATCACCATTGTCATCATCCTATCAGTTATCACCACATGCCATCTTGTGACTACGGTCAGTTGTTTAGGATCGAAATCTCCGCGTCTTGCCCTCTGCAGACACACATAGCAGCAGCAGCAGAAGCAGTGCAAGGGACAGGCAAAAGAGTGAGCAGCAGCGGCAGCGGAGCACACAGCTTCTGCCATACAGGCTTGAGCAGCATCCAGTAGACACGTTCACAACCACCCCTGCCCACTACCCATGGGACTTCCAGAACATGGCTGCAGATGAGCATGTCCCGCTCTTTGCGCCGGGGCACCCCCTCCGCCTTCCCCACTGCCATCGCCCTCTGTTTCATGCCCACTGCCCACTATCCACAGCTCCCCTGCTGCCTGCCCCCTGCAACCTGCCTCCTGCCCCCTGCCCCCTGCCCTCTGCCCTTTGCCCACTACTCACAAAGCGTGTGTGCAGATGAGCAGGCCTCTGTTTCTGTGCCGGTGCACCCCCGTCCTGTTGCTCTATGTGTCATCTTGGCTGTGTTTTGCCTTGACGCAGCACCCGCTCATGGCCTGCTTCCCCTCCGCTGCTCCCCTCCTGCCCACTTCTCCCCTCTCTTCTTCTGTCACCCCCATTCACTGCTAGCTACCGTGCCCTCATCCCCCTCTCCTGCCTCGGGTGATAGATAAAAAGGTGCAGGGTGGGTGGCTGCTGTTGAGTGGGTGCAGGATAGGTGCTTGCCCAGCCGTTCCTCACATCCCAACCACCATCCCTCGCCTTTCATTATCCCTTGTTACTATATTCATCTTTCTGCATTTACCGTCCTCTCCTTTCACAGAAGTTGCAAGCTGCCCTCTCAAACCTATCCAGTTCCCACCACACTCAACCTTGCTGTCCCCAACAGGCTTTTCAACCCCGCTCAAGACCAATATCAACAAGATTTTCAACCCCGCTTTCCTACCGGCCCTTGGAGGTTTCTCCACCACTGTGCTCTGCCTCTTCTGGCCCTTCATCATCCTCGCCTTCCGCAACAGCAAGAACACCCCTTCGCTCCACAAGATCCTGCCATTTGGCGGATGTGTATTCGTGTTGGTTGAAACATGATTTAGGCAGTGCATTTCAATCTTGAAAAAGGAACACATCATGCGTACAATGACCTCAGCAGTTGAATTCTCCGCTTCTACAAAGAGCTGCAATAGAATGTTAACTCCCACGAAGAGTATCAATGCACACTTTGTCACCCTGAAACAAGCTTGTGTTCTGTTCTGCACTTCAGACAATCGTCACAAGCATCAGACAAGGAGACGAGGACAGGAGATCAATCACACTAACCGCACTGCACACTATCTGCACTGCACACTATCTGCACTGCACAGTACCTACACTGCTCATACTCCGTTGATTATTCTTGTGGAACGGTTGAAAAGGCCTGGGTGGGCTGAGAAATCTAGGGTGGGATGAAAAGGCCTGGATGGGATGAAACATCCATGACCTTTCAACCCACCCAGGTTATGGGATGAAGGTCATGGGCAATCAGTGGGTTGAATGGAGAGGGGGTGGGATGGAAACGCATGGGTGGGATGAAAACGCACGGGTGGAATAAAAGGCATGGGTGGGATGGAAAGGCATGGGTGGGATGAAAAGGCATGGGTGAGATGAAAACGAATGGGTGGTATGAAAAGCCATGGGTGGGATGGAAAGGCATGGGTGGGATGGAAATGCATGGGTGGGATAAAAAGGCATGGGTGAGATGAAAAGGCATGGGTGAGATGAAAACGAATGGGTGGTATGAAAAGCCATGGGTGGGATGGAAAGGCATGGGTGGGATGGAAATGCATGGGTGGGATGAAAAGGCATGGGTGGGATGAAAAGGCATGGGTGGGATGAAAAGGCATGGGTGAGATGAAAAGGCATGGATGAGATGAAAAGGCATGGGTGAGACGAAAAGCCGTGGGTGGGATGGAAAATGCAGCAGCAGAGGAAAGGGGCAGACGAGACAGTGGGAGTTGGAGGCTACGTGGAGGAGATGATTTATGTTGCTGTTGTTGAGCCATAAAAACAGGAGTGCATGGAAAACAGGAGTGACAAGAGTGGGTGGGACCATGAATAAGCTGGGGAAAATGACATGTATGGGGGGTATTAATGGAGTGGGGATACGAGAGGAGTGATTGGTATGACAGGAGTGGGTGGTAAGAGGGGAATTGGGGAAATGCGAGGCGCGGAGTTAATGAGAGGGTTGGGGGTTATGACAAGAGTGGGGGGCAGTTAAAGCTTGGGGGATGGGAGGAAATGGGGGACGAGGAGTGGGGGGTATGAGAGGATTGAAGGGGTATGAAAGCAGAGGGGGGTATGAGAGGAGTGACAGAAATGAGAAATTTGGGGGGTATGAGAGGCTCATGAGTCCGCTAGGTGGGGGTGATGGTATGGGGGCACCTGCCACTGATCTGCCACTGACCTGCCACTGACCTGCCACTGATCTGCCACTGACCTGCCACTGACCTGCCACTGATCTGCCACTGACCTGCTACTGACCTGCCACTGACCTGCCACTGACCTGCCACTGATCTGCCACTGACTTGCCACTGACCTGCCACTGACCTGCCGCTGACCTGCCCCTGACCTGCCACTGACCTGCCACTGACCTGCCACTGACCTGCCACTGACCTGCCACTGACCTGCCACTGACCTGCCACTGACCTGCCACTGACCTGCCACTGACCTGCCACTGACCTACCACTGATCTGCTCCTGATCCACAGATGACCCACGTTCCCCTCACCACCCATGTTCCCCTCACCACCCATGTTCCCCTCACCACCCATGTTCCCCTCACCACCCATGTTCCCCTCACCACCCATGTTCCCCTCACCACCCATGTTCCCCTCACCACCCATGTTCCCCTCACCACCCATGTTCCCCTCACCACCCATGTTCCCCTCACCACCCATGTTCCCCTCATCACCCATGTTCCCCTCACCACCCATGTTCCCTCTCACCACCCATGTTCCCCTCACCACCCATGTTCTTCTCACTACCCAGTAATGACCACTACCAGTGATTCATTATAGCCCACCTCCTTCCTCGCACCACGCACCACGTTTCGCCCAACAAACCACCTTTCCCCCTGCTCATCCGCAAGGAAGAAAACTGCTTTACGGGAGTACCCAGCATCTCCCTCTCGCAGGTTACCCGCAGGTTGCCCCAAGGAACGCACCTCCTTCTTCCTCCGCTGGGGCACCGAGCAGCCACAAGTGCACTGAGCAGGCCCGAATAGCCCTTAAGAGCGGAGAGAATGGGTGAGGAGTCAAGAAACAGGTGCAGGGCTGGTGGAAGGGGGGCGGTGGGTTGGTGATGGAAGGAGGAGGATGCAGGGTGGATGGAGGAAGCAGAGAGGGGGAAAGGGAGAAGGGAAAGGAGCAGAGTCCTTTGAAGTTGATGCAGGAGACAATGTGGGTGTGGGTTGGGGGGGGGGGGGGGGGGGGGGGGTGGGGGAGGAGGGAAGGGAAAGCTGGAAGAGGAGGGAGAAACAGGGAAAGGAAGGGAGGGACCCAAGCCTTTGAGAGGGTGTGAAAAAGGGTGTACAAAGGTGCCAAACAGTTCTGTAAGGGCGGGAGTCAGTGCAGTGGGCCATACTTGAGTCACGTTGAGAATTCTCAATGCGCACAACCTCAAGTGCGAAATAGAGCTGCAAATCATATCAGTGCTAGAAGCTGAGAGAAGAAGAGGGTGAGTGCAGCGGGGATGAAGTTAGGTAGGTGTTTGGGAGAGGGAGTTAGAGAGGGGGAGAAGTTCGGGGGAAATCATTACGTTTCCGGCAGTGGCGCCACTGGCGGTGGTGCAGCTGCGGGTGCGATCATCGGCCGGCTTGACACCCGCGGTGATGCCCCCACTCCACTTGCACACCGCAGGCCCAGCCACTCCAATCGGACCGTGTGAATTCAACGGGGACGAGTCCCGAGACGGGTCATGACAGAGCCTGGCACCGTGGATACGGGAACGGGAGGGAGAGGGGTTAGGGGAGGGGTAGGGGAGGGGGGAGGGGAGGAGGGTAAGGGGAAAGGGAGGAGGTAAGGGGAGGGGGTGGAGATAAAGGAACAGAGAGAAGGCAAGGTTATTATGAGGTAAGGGGAGGGGCAGTGGGTAAGGGAGTTGGAGGAGGCAAGTGAAAGGTTAGCGTGTAAGTGGAAAAAGAGGGCGTAAGGGGAGGGTTCACAATGGCCTTGCGGTGGTGCCTTGGCAAGCAGTGTGGCTGTGCGAGTGGGTGCAAGACAGCATGGAAACAGCAAGCAGGAGTAACCCTACGGGGGGTAAGGAAGTTGGAGGGCCGAGAGAAGGAGAAGAGGAGCAGATTGAAACCTGCTGCACCCTACCCTTGACTATGACGTTATGTGGGTGTAGTGGTTCCATGATTCCAAACGAGAATGTCCTGCGTGCTGTTGTAACGAGGTGAACTTTGAGTCGACTGAAAGTCAGCTCGTTACCTGCCACACCCTACACTTCATTGTGGCGTTACATGAGGGTGGTAGCATACATTGGTCCGACGGCCTGCCACATCCTTCCCTGCCACATCCCTCCCTGCCACATCCTTCCCTGCCACATCCCTCCCTGCCACATCCTTCCCTGCCACATCCCTCCCTGCCACATCCTTCCCTGCCACATCCTCCCTCCCCCTGCCACATCCTTCCCTGCCACATCCCTCCCTGCCACATCCTTCCCTGCCACATCCCTCCCTGCCACATCCTTCCCTGCCACATCCCTCCCTGCCACATCCTTCCCTGCTACATCCCTCCCTCCCACAACGGATTTCCTTGAAGCAGCACCACCCCCCCTTTTCCCGTATAGCCTGCCTTCGCCAACCATGCGTACCCTCCCCCCCATCTCCCCCCCCTTCGCCCCCTCTCCATGTGCCTTGCGACCTTGGTGCATCGTATTCACATGCTTAAGCTCACTATGCCCCAATCCCGCCTGCTTGTGTCCCTGCCCCCCCTCTTGCCTCGTGTCTCAGGATCGTAAGCACCTTAGTCGGCAATAGTCTACTTGCTATTGCTTATCGTGTTCTCCACGATCTCCCGAATCCAATGATATGCGCAGCTCTGCTTGAAGTTATCAATACACACTTCGGCAATTTTCAGAATCTGATTGGTATGATTTCCAGAATGAGTACAAGCAGTTTTATAGTCAGGCAAGACACAAAATGCGATTCGTAACTTCACTTGTTTCCCAAGTAACTGCGTGCGCCTCGTTTCACCCCGAGTCGCACACGCAACCGAACCGAATTTGGTGAACACTCCGCAAGTCCGAATCCTGAACTTTCTCGAACGCGCCTTGGTCTCAAAGCACATTTTTCCCCTCGTCAATCTCATTCTCGATGCTTCTCCTTCTCTCTCCCTCCTTCTAGCACATTTCTTCTCGATTTCTCTCCCACTTCTCACGCCGTTGCCTCTATTCCCCACCGTACGCCAATTTCCACCGTTTCACACACGCGCTTCCATTTTGCCGTCATTCCGCCGTCGTAGATGCTTTCGCCTTAGGGTCTGTGGTTGGGCGAACCAACCCTAACAATCTCCCCTGTGGTTCGTCAACCACGAACACCACTCGCACTGCTCTCCTGCTCCTTGTAGCCTTCACAGGGTCTAAGTCGGCTTCACGCTCCCTTGCAGCTCCTGCACCTTGAACCTCTGCTTACGTGTCTTGTAATTGAGCGCCTTGACATCCAAACCATGAGAGATTTTCTTAAGCCTCTCACGTCTCCTCGGCATCTTTACACTCAACACCTCTCGGGTCTTGTACCCTTCAACGCGTTCATCCTCCTTAAGCACTTGCCCCTTTGCAGTTGCATTCGCCTTTGATCCTTTCACCATGATGTCCCCTTTTACAGCTTCAACTCCCACACACTTCGCATTTACTGCTTCGTCTTCAACCACGATCGCTGCTACAAAAGTGTTGACATCGTCTCCATCTCCACCGTTTACCGCTGCTGCCTCCGTGATCACTATCTCCTCTTCAAGCTTCACTGCTGCCTCCACACTCGCAGCCATATCATCTGAGTCCTCACTCTCATCATCCTCAGTAGACTCACGATCCTCATAGATCTCATCCTTATCGTTCATCGCGACCAAGTTCATCTCATAGAAACCGTCACTGAAATAACCATCCGCATACTTCTCCCACTGAGGACCAAACACAGTCACCTCACCTCTGTCATAGAATATCTTGCACCCCAAGTCATCAAATTGTGACATACTCACCAAGTTCACCTTCAAATCCGCAACCAGCAACACACTCTCCAGTTTCACTACTCCATACGGACTCTGCAGTACCACGTCGCCCTCTCCTGTCACTGGCAACTTTCCACTGTTACCTTGCAGTATATAACGCTCACTCGACTCCCTCACATTCTCCATCCAATCTGACCTGAACGTCATGTGACGCGTGCATCCACTGTCCATGAACCATGCCGTTTCCTCACGTCCGTCCGTCTGACGAACATCCTTCGGTAAACGCACCACGTTCGCAAGATGCGCTCCTCCAAGGATCACATCCTCCTTTTCCGCTTCCGCTACATTCGCCTATGTCACCACATTCCTCTGCTGCGACGGACCCTTGTAGCTCTTGCTATTCGGATTGAAGTAGCACTCTGCGGCACGATGCCCGTAGCGCCCACAATAATCACACTTGCCGCCAAAGCCTCGTTTCTGCTGCCACTCCGCTCCCTCATTTTCTCCTTTCTCGTTCTCCATCGCTTTGCCCTTATAGTTTCTGCTTCGCGGGTTCTCGTAGCAATTTATCGCCTTATGCCCGCGCTTTCCACACTGGTAGCATGCTCCAAACGCCTTTGTGGCATTCACCATACCCGGCCTCTCCTCGTCAAATTCCTTAGCTGCTGCTACTGTTTTCTTTTTCCTCATCTCCTTCACCGTCTTAAGCGACTACAGAATCTCCTGCAGCTTCATCAAACTCTCCGGCGCTTGGTACGTAAACATACCGATGTCGGATTCCCACTCCTTAGGAAGGCCTTGGTTGATATAGTCAATCATCTCATGCTCCGTCTCCGCGGCTCCCATCACCCGCAAATCGTCGTTGTAGCTTTTCGCCGTGTTGATGTAGGTGATGATTTTCTCGCCTTTCTCCATGCTCAGCGTCAGCAGTTGCTTCCTAATCGCCTTCTTGTTGACATCGTTCATACCCATGTATGTGGACTCCAGGTACTCCCACGCTTGCTATGCAGGGTTCAGCTCCCCTGCAAACTGGTCCAAATCCACCGCAATTCCATCGGCAACTGAATGACAAAGCTGAAAGAAAGCTTGCTTACTTTGCTTTTTAAACGCCGCTATTTTCTCCTTCGTGTCCGTCGTGGAAGGCGCAACTCCCTCCATCGTCTCTTCGTCGGGACGGTAGTACGGCAAGAGGTCCACCTCCTCTGCCCTTCGAATGAACTTCTTTCACCACACGTTGTAGTTGTTTCCATTGAAGCGCTGGGCTTCACTGAGCCCGATCGTCGGTTTCACCACCAATCGACCACTCGCAAGGGCCTCGAAAAGAGCCTTCAGATGTGGGTCTCCAAGACTCACACTGGAACCCGAACTCGCCTTGTCTCCCATAGCGTAGGCGTGAACGACTCCTCTTCTCCACTAATTTCACTTAGCACACCAAGTGAATTTGCGACGACCAACGAGCCCGTTCGTCAAGCTCTTATACCAGTTCTTAGAATCGTAAACACCTTAGTCGGCAATAGTCTACTTGCTATTGCTTATTGTGTTCTCCACGATCTCCCGAATCCAATGATATGCGCAGCTCTGCTTGAAGTTGTCAATACACACTTCAGCAATTTTCAGAATCTGATTGGTATGATTTCCAGAATGAGTACAAGCAGTTTTATAGTCCGGCAAGACACAAAATGCAATTCGTAACTTCACTTGTTTCCCAAGTAACCGCGTCCGCCTCGTTTCACCCCGAGTCGCACACGCAACCGAACCGAATTCGGTGAACACTCCGCAAGTCCGAATCCTGAACTTTCTCGAACGCGCCTTGGTCTCAAAGCACATTTTTCCCCTCGTCAATCTCATTCTCGATGCTTCTCCTTCTCTCTCCCTCCTTCTAGCACATTTCTTCTCGATTTCTCTCCCGCTTCTCACGCCGTTGCCTCTATTCCCCACCGTAGGCCGATTTCCACCGTTTCACACACGCGCTTCCATTTCGCCGTCATTCCGCCGTCGTAGATGCTTTCGCCTTAGGTTCCGTGGTTGGGCGAACCAACCCTAACATCGTCTATGTCTGCCCATCCTGCTGCCGCCTCACCTCGTATATGCCCTGCTTGACTTCGCTGCTGCTCTACCTACTGTAGCACGTAATTTGGCTGTTGCACTCCACTCCGTTCCCATCAGCTTATGTCCCTCATTAGCTCCGGTCACACCAGCCATGTCCCTGTCCTGTTGCACACCACATCAGCATCTAGTTGCCGCTACAGCTGCATTGATGGTCCTTCGGATCCCGGCAGGGCAGCCGTACATCTGCCGTACATCTGCCACGACACCGACATGGATAGGCGGAAGCGTAGAACAGAGCGGGGAGGGGGAGGAAGGGTGGGGCCGTCACAAATGGGCAGTCAACTCATGATGCACCAGATGGCTGCAACCCGTCCGGATGCCAAGCATTTTGTGGCACATGTCACGGGAAGATAGCAAGGTGGAATCTGTCAATCCGCAGGCAACGCGGCAAGGTAGCCTGTTACACGTCAGCAGACTTAAGTGAAAAGGCTGCACCCTGTTACTCCGAGTGGTTCAAGGCCCGATGAGATGAGTTACCCTTTGAGCCTCTACATGGAGGGCGGGGAGGTGGGGAAGCTGGAAGCGTTGCGTGCAGGGAGGGGGGCGCACACTTAAGATTCTGGGAGGTGGTTCATGTGAGGATGTGGGAGCGAAGGTGGTTCATGTGAGGACGTGGGAGCGGAGGTGGTTCATGTGAGGACGTGGGAGCAGAGGTGGTTCATGTGAGGACCATTGCAATGCGATGGCACGTGGAGAACGTGGGGCCATCATGATGACGTGGTGATTATGCTAATAGAGTTCAACTCACCATCGCCATCGCAAAGGCTTTGTCAAACAGCCGTCGTTCCAGCCTCGAGGCCCCTTCCCCATTAATCTGCCACTTTCACTATCGGGGAGCTTCGTCCCTCCTCTCGCTTTCCACTCATCCCTTTCTCACTCCTTCCATTACTTCCAGTCCGCTCCTTCCGTTCCTGATTGTGCCATTATGTGAGGGGAGTATCCATCCTTCCCATGGCTTTCTGCGCTCCCTCCAGCTGCAATACAGCGATTCTGGAAGCGAAAGTGCACCAGGATGAGCAGCAGCAGCAGAGGCAGCGGTGGTGGCAGCAGGCAGAGCCACGTGCGACCTGCCCGTTCTCTTCTTGTCCCTTCCTTCCACCACGCAGCTCGCCTCCACCAACCATGTGTCGCAGCTCGCCTCCACCAACCATGTGTCGCAACTCGCCTCCACCAACCATGTATCGCAGCTCGCCTCCACCAACCATGTGTCGCAGCTCGCCTCCACCAACCATGTGTCGCAGCTCGCCTCCACCAACCATGTGTCGCAGCTCGCCTCCACCAACCATGTGTCGCAGCTCGCCTCCACCAACCATGTGTCGCAGCTCGCCTCCACAAACCATGTGTCGCAGCTCGCCTCCACCAACCATGTGTCGCAGCTCGCCTCCACCAACCATGTGTCGCAGCTCGCCTCCACCAACCATGTGTCGCAGCTCGCCTCCACCAACCATGTGTCGCAGCTCGCCTCCCCCATGTGCCATCTAGCCTCGGTGCAGCATGCTCACACGCCCCCTCACAGTGATCCAATCCCGCCTGCTTGTGCCTCTGCCCGAGTGCTCCATCTCTTGACTCGCTCTTGTCTGCTCCTTTCTTCCAATCTAT